CATGGATCAATGAATAACATTAGAATAGAGGTGAGCCATTTAGATGTACATATACATGTAAATGTTATAACAGTGATTGTAATAATAAAATGATTTTTTTAATATTGTCTCCTTTGCAGAGATTAAAAAACAAGCTAGGGACCCATCAGTTACCAACAGCTGAATTGCTATTAGATGGAACAATGGCTCAACTGATTGGAGAGAAAGGGCATGGGATATCACTTATATCACCATTGCTCCTTATAACCTGCTGGCATAATACAATATCAGCAGTAGATAGTATGAGACGGTATGCACTAAGAAAGTTTGTGATATCAAGAAGAAGTTTATTGAACTAGTAGGAGTTTTAAATTGGGAAGAAGTGACAGTCAAGTATCCTGAATTCGCTCAGGAGGAAAAACTTTGTGAAAAGTTTCAGATGAATAAATAGTTGCAACCACTTAAACAAGCAATGAAGTAAGTTCATTACCTTCTTTGTTTTTCAAATCCTCCTTTAAATAATAAACAGGGCAAAGGAAGCATTAGTATGTCTGGGTAATTCTGAGAGTAAGGTGTCTCATTAAACATCATGAAAATTTTGTACTTTGTCTACAAGCATCACCAGAGTCAATTTCTCGTGCTGTTTTGAAGACTGAATTGAATGGTTACCCTGGTTCTCTGTGTCAATTTTTAATGTTAAAGAGTATGATGAGGTATGCCTTGATCCTTTTCTCCAAAATTAACATTTTTACTAGATTATTGCATATGATTGTATGATTAGAACTGTTAACACAGCTGCAGGACTGACTGAATATTTTGTGATTTTTAGTGTGCCACCAAATGATTTAGAATTGTTTTCAGTGGCATCAAAATTCATGTCAGAATCTGATTTTATGTTGAATTGGCTTATCTTAAAAACAGTGACAACTTGAAAGTGAGATAATAATTATTTACATGCATTAATTGGCATAAATAAATTTATTTTTGATTAGATTCAGTACTGTTGCCTGTAGCTGCTCCTTTCTTCATTGCTTGTACAGAGAAAAGGAACAAACAGTTATCAACTTACAATATGGAGAATTTGGTCCCTCATGAAGTCGCATTACTAACAAGACTTAGTGAGAAGGGTGGCTATATTTTGTCCGTAAATGTATCATCAGGTGAGGTTACTGTATATTCATGACTAAAATGACTTGACTACTGTATAGCTGGTTAAAATTTTTATGTTGGTTAAATTTTAATTATAATTAATTTTAATGCCTTGTAAAATTTTTGTTAATATTAATTTTATTTTAATTGGTTTAAATAAAACTTAGTGGAAAAGCCTGCATGAAAATTTAATTCCACACGAAATAAACCAGCTATACGGTACATGTATGTGAAATGCTGTCTTTCAATTTAACTAAAATGCTAAAAACAATATTTGACTATGATCAAAAATAATAATTATTATTGATTCTGTGTGAATAATCAGCTCAACCTTAATGTATTTGTATTTATGTTTTGTAGGTATTGTTGCTGATTTGGTAAAGAAAGTTCTTGTTGACTGGATTCACTCAGGCTTCTATGATCACAGACTTGGAGAAGTTACTTGCTGTCACTGACTAAACTCTAATAAAAAATATGTAAACTATTATGGTTGTTTGAAATTTTAAAGTATTATTGTTATAGTTTGAAGTAATGTACATGTATAATTTTTGCGTTTTGAATTTTCAGATTGCAACTGATGCAGTTTTTGAATATAAAACTACAGTTTTAGTTTGCAAGGCAATGGCTTGACTGCATCTTTATTGATGTAGATTTTGAAATTTCAAATCAAAATATCTCATAGAGTATAAATTCTCTAGTCAGATCAAATGAGCAGTACACTTCTGCAAATCTGGTGATTTTAGAGCTATAATTTGAAGTAGAAATAAAATAATGGCTAAATTTAGCAAAATTTGCAGAAAATAAATTGTAATTGGAAATTTCAGTTGGAATATGGAAAGTGTTATTATCATCCACATGCAGGAACAAACTCAAAGATGGTGTCACCTTTCTCAGGGTCACAGGGAGGGTAGTTTAGGTCAGGCTTGTTCTCTCTCATCCAAGACTCCATCTTTGCTCTGATGTCCAACTCAAGGAGGACCCCAATGCTCCACAATACTGAGAATATGTAAATGTGTTCAAGATGCTGTGGCTTGAGTGAGTAGTTCTCTTCCTTTGCAGGTATCAGACCTTCCAGCAGGTAGCAAGTCTGTACTACTGTATGTAATTGCATTGGAGAAGCTCCATTTTTGCCTCAAGCATCACAGATACGTAATTATACACATCAATGAAAGATCTTTCAAATATATTGAGTAATATGCCTGATTCTGAAGATGTAATCTTCTTTTCTGTGACTTTCTTCAGTAGCCAGCTCTGCAGTATTGGTTTCCAGTCCAGACCAGAGGGCTCATGTAGACCATACCATTACGAGATACAGTGGCTGGTGAGGCA